TTTTCAAAAGCACAGCAGTGACCACTAAAGTGCTGCTTTGCCCAAATTCTAGCACTGTAACTACTTTACGTTCCGTTGCTTAATCACTATCCCTCACCTACCAGCCAGTTCAACTGAAAACCGAAAACTATTCTTCACTTCCTTTTCATAAAATGATACACGGCATTGCACACGCTGCTAAGTAATTGCCGCATTTCAGGCCGGCAGTGGCTGCGATTCTGTGGTAAATGACATACACACCTAAGGTTATGTACTCAGCAACCTTTGTGAAGGCACTCTGGGATCCACCTCAAACACAATGGGAATCCACTGGGATGAGAAGCCCTTTCTAAATCTAAGATCACCATCATTCAGTCAGAGCAATGGATATTGGCAAAATATGTTTAACTTTAAAATAACATTTGTTGAGCAATGATAGAATAAGGGTCCATCTAAATTACAGAACTATATTCCATAATCCATAAGTATTAAATCTTTCATTTCTCGGAACTGATGTGAAACCTTGTAAATCTTAGAAGTATTTTTCATCTGCAAGTCTCTTCAGTTCTTCTTTCAGACACTCTGCATGTAGGAGTATGATGAATTGATAACCCTTCCAAGAATAAACGAAGAGGTACCACGGGAGCAAGTAAAGTGTGAAGAAAATCATGCTCTGAATTAATTCCTTCCTCATGGAAAACAGTGACCAAACTCTCTTTGACATCAAGGAGGGCCTGGATTTCACCCAACCGCCTACAATACAATTGTCTGGGCTTCAGATCTTGTCTTAAACACAATCTGTCCACGTGTCCAAGCAATTTGTGCAAAAGGAGTGCCCTGAAGCTATAAATGGAAACTACTCCACTGCACAACTTTATCTCACCAGGAAACAAAGCACATGGGATATTCAGCACAAACCACCTTTGTAGATTTACAGACCAACGAGGCTAAAAAGTCAGGTCAAACGCTGAGCAGGAAAGATAAAACGGCTTCAGAATCTAACATTTAATTAGAGTAAGACCTGGAATCATAAAGAGAAGGAGTTTTTGCAATGGCGGAACAAGCTGAAATACAATCTAACAAAAATCGCTTAAAAAACCATCAAATCCCTAGCCTGCTATGCAGATAACAAGGACATCACTGACTTTGAGGTAAACATTGCTAATTTACTTAATACAGGTTTTGAAGAAGATGGCATGTACATCACAAGGCTTTTATAATGGGCCTGGCTAATATTAACATCTATTATAGTTGCTGTAATACATTATCTGGAAAGGGACGGAAACTAACAAGCTGCCAGATGACAAAAAAAGGATTACTTTGAGGTGCCAATAATCTTAAACCCTTCTCCAAGCCTCTCCCAATATCATTCCTCTCTATTTAGACAAAAGTTCCAAATCCAGAACTATGCCTGCAGCCATTTTTCATTCAATTATATTTCATGGATAAAATGTTCAAAAGTGACCTATAATTTCAGAAAACGAAATCTCAGAGAACACACTCAGATATCCAGGGACTTACTGCAGAACTGCTGTGCACAACTTTCACTGACACCTCTCGCTCAGTACTTCAAATATGCTATTTTGGCCTCATGTCTAAATAAGGATTTAGAACTCTGATTTTACGGGGACACAGCTCAACGATTTTCAGTAGTTAGGCTGAAGGACATAAATGCTTTTGGGGGCCTGAAGTCTGCACTTACGTTTTGGGAAAGAATCAAGTTAGAGTGCAAAAAGTAAGTGATAAGAAAAGCAAAGGTTCTGTCTTTAAGCTGCAAGGCTTTAAAATACTTCAAATAATATATAACCACCCACACTAAAATATCTTACACAAGTCAGCAAACACATGTATGTACACTAGGACTGCAGTTACGTTGTTAAGCATTCTTCTGTTCTGTATTTCGCTCCTACATGAAAACAATTCTCCCTCTTTCATCTCACAAAAGAAGAGTACGTTTTTCTTCCTCTGAAGCACTACAGATATGCTTATATCTTCAGTATAATACATTTTTAGTGCTTGGGGTATGAGGTTTGTTTTTCTGTCACCTTGTGACTACCAAGGAAAGTGATTCAGTTTAGTAATCTAATGGAAAACAATCTTCATATGTTCATTTATTTTTTTAGATAAATTCCATTATCACTATCTTATAAATATGCAGGTTCCTGAGTTCAGTAAAATAAAATGTGTATTTCTTCATGCCAAAATGTTTTCCAGGTGGCACTAGTCTACACACTGGAGTCTACCCCAGACAAGCATCATCATTCAGATTACTCCAACAACATTTATCCAGTGACACTCATGATGAATCTCAGATGCCTGATCACACAGTCTAAGGCACAGTATGAAAACTTCAGAACTGAAGAAACCCAACAGTTGGAGCCCCAATCCTCACCTTGCAAGATGAGGGAGAGCAGTGCTGAGCTCTAAGCTGAAGGAGTATTGAGTTCAGTATGATGGGAATGCATGAAGTGCACTGGAGGGTCAAGAGGTGCCACTGACTGAAGGGAAGCAGATGTTTGGCAATAGGATTCCAACTAAGTGTTGATTAAAATTTCAACTTTTCAATTAGAAGATGGCTGTTTGAAGTGCTCAGAATAGTCTATTTAATTGTTTTCTGCCTGTGGAAACTCTGAGAAGGAAAAACAGCTAGTGAAAAACTTAAAGCCTTCAACACGGAGCCCAGAAATTCACAGAAATTTTTATCTTTTATTTCTTTAGGCAACAAAATTTGCTTACCCTTCTAACACTAGTATTAGTGCGGTGAATCAGAGATACTACTGACAAAGGAATAATATAGAAATTAATATAGTGAGACTAGTCAGTAATTCTAAAGGCAAGAAAAGATTAAATGAAGGTGAAACCTGTAAGGGGAGACCCTTGATATTCAAACATAGTTGCAAAGAACTATTGGTATGTCCCATAACAGGAAAAGTGGAGAGAAAGGGCCTGAGCATCAGACATTGTTCTCAGGAAAGTGTGACAAAAAGCCTTGAAGATGCTGACTGTACATTAAATCTTATCTCTGTTTCTGATTATTAACTCTTGATCCTTTTGAACATGTATATAGTGATAGAACGAATACACAGGAACCTGTATCTGAATTTGCCCAGTAACTTCACAAGGGGAAAAAAATATAATCAAGTCAAGGAAAAAAAGTGTAATGAAAGGGAAGTGGTATATATTTCACACAATACTTGAAAATACTTTCAAAATTTCACTGCCTTTTGCCATGTAATTTATTCAACAAATAGTTATTCTTATTAATTAGGCTTTAAAATAGAGAGATCATAAAAGGGCAAGGGTTTGTTTTTCTTTTCCTAACTCATTTTCTTAGATCTTGATCTATGGAACAGATAAAAATACAGTTTTTGGGACAACATAATTCAGTAAATCAACAGCTCTATTCCAGATAGTTATATATGAAATGACATTACAAACAAGCATTATAATCAGCAACAGATAAGTCAACTGTATCTATTTCAGAACTTCAATTCCAAGATAATCTGCTTCATATTTTATTTCGTAAAGCCTGTGACACAAGGCACATGAAGGGATCAAAGAGTAAAAAAACCAGATAAGAGTGAAACACTTACCAAAATGAAACACTATTATATAAAGCTGCTATGGAATGAAAAAAGGGTAAAGCAAAATTCTAGAGAAAGACATCATATTTGCTGCTACTTGTCTATTTTACAAGTAAAAACACAGCTTTGTTTTGGCAAAGTACACGTCACCTTTGAGGAAATACACTGACTTCAATTTTTATAACCACAAGCAAACTTCTAACCAAGAAAAAACAGGTCTGATTTGGGCTTTTTTCTTCCAAAATCCCCCCAGTGCACGTAGTTCTCCAAAAACCAGCCAAATCCCGCACTTCTTTAATAGATTTTACTCAGTCCTTGGTTTGGACTAATCCTAATCAGCTTGCTAGTTCTCACCTCCTGCAATCCTTTCACCACTCCTTCATTTCAGCAATAGTTTGCCTAAGGTCATTTTAAGGTGCAGATTTGGCCATACCTGAGCAGACCCACGCAGCACAGACACGCCTAAGCAATGAGTGCAGGTGAAGCAGTCACCTGTGCAGGGCCACAGTGCAGCACAGGGCTATCTTCTCAGAGTAAAGCTTTCAAAAACACCTGGAAAACCTCCCTGATCATTTTCGGTTACATTTCAGACTGAAATCTCACAAAAGACTTCAGATTTGAAGATGTGCATCCAGACAGATCAAATTAAAACCAGGAAAAATCTGACAACTGGCTAAGCTGCATTATTGTTGAGTACAATCAACTGGCTTGTTTTGGCAAATGAAACACCTTGGCATATTTCCCAAACTGCAATTTTATCTTGCCCCCACCCTTTTTTTTTTTTTCTCCTGCTTAAATGAAAGATTATCAGTCCCTGGAATCCAAACACAGGAGATATATATACACCATACAGAGTTCAGTACTAGTTCTGTCAGTACAGAAACGTTTAAAAATATATATATATTCTGTATCCAAATTACTGATTTACTGAATTCAAATTCTTGAAAGTTGTTCCTCAAATAAGATGATGATCAAACAAAGGAACAACTTTTAAGCAACATCAATCTTTTCTACTTAAGTTTGAAGCAATAGATCTTTTCATTGCGTAAGAGAGTATGCAGAGAACACTGAAGCAAATTTAAAATCCTAATGCAAACTTCTGTTAAATACTAAGCTCTGGACAATGTCAGCAGATGTTTCCATGCAAATTCTGTCCCTCTAATGAGAAATTATGTTGCTTGCAAAGATTTTAAAGATGACGACCAACTTTTTCTCATTTTATCTTATTAACTAACACTGTATAGTCAATACAGTGGGGGGATCCTGAATCTACTCTTCACCTGTGCTCAGAATGACTGAGTTCAAAACTAAATCCTTATAATATACATTTCTACCAGTCCGACCAATATGCAAAATGCCTCTGTCACATAAAACACTGCACTAAAACGTGTTTTCAAACTCATAACCTACTGCACTCTACAACAAAGGAGCACTTACTGCCATTGTCGTCAGAATCCTCACTGCTGCTAGGAAGCCGACCTCGTTTCATGATCTCCACGGGAAACAGCAGGCAGCCTGCAAAGCAATGAGACAGCACTTAACCCAAGATAATAATACACAGTCATCAAGTTGTGTTTCTGATGGCATTCGAGGATTTACAGCACACAAAGGAAAACAAACAACTTTAAACAGCATCTGAAATATGAACAGTGAGTATCTCAAGGATGCTTCATTAGGCAGTCATCATATGAGCAGGTGAACAAAACTGCAGAGTATCAAAGAGAACCCCACCAAACACGTTCACCCCAAAACAAAAGCGTATTTTGTTCTGAGAGGTCTGAAAAATCACTAAACATCTGCAGTCAATGTGCTTAACTTCCCCTGCCCATTCTGACACTAGATTTGCAATACAGTAACATTTTTACTGTTTGTGTAAATATTTACTTCGGCTAATATGTTTTTGGAACCATTTTATTCCCATTTAAAGCATCGGATTTACGAAATCAAAGATTAAAGTCATCCACTTACATATATAAAAAAGAAACATCAGCAGTAGCAAGCCAAGCTTTCCCAGATTAATGAAACATGCGTCATCCATGCCCTGCAAGGCATCATCCTCTAAGGTAAGAGAGTTACTTCCTCCAGCAGACACATTTCTAGCGCCACGCCTAACACTAAATGTTCTTCCAGAATCAGACCACCAACCGATTACACAGAAGCTCCTCCAAACTACCAGACTTCTACCAATATTGAGTTCAACTGCACACGAACCAGCGATGTAAAGGCACAAAGCTCCGCATCTTTTTAAGTGCTATTCACAGGGCATTTGTATTTTCACCTGTATTCTCTGTGGAATGAAACCAAATTCAGAAAAATTAAGGAAGCTGTAAATAGCTAGTCAGCATTTACATGTAAAAAGCTATTAAAAAGTCTAAGTTGAAGAACTGAAAAAACACGACAAGTGCAGAAAGGCATATCCACCATAAGTTAAACTGACAAGGACTCTAGATGCACATCAAATCCCCTGAGTCTTTGCTTACCTCTTATCAATCGTGATATCAACAAGGTCTGAGTGTTCTGCTAGCAGGAAAACCCTCATACATACCTCTGGGGCACAGATTTGGAAATCAGATGCCAAAATACTTTTCTGCTTCTAGGCAGGTGCAGAAAATCTGACCTCATTTTTGTGTGAGTTGAGATTTCCCAGAAACCTTTCACCAAAACTCCTTTAATTGACCCTTCAGTATACAATTAACTACTTTGTTCGCTGAGAACATGTCTCATTGTAGTAAACTCAACAATACTGTCAACTTTTCTAAGACTAAGTCCCCAAATGAGGAAACCCAAAAAGTCTAATCAATGCCTGACACTTTTTTCCCAAAAAGCACAAAAGTATTTTCTCTTCCAAAAGTGATTCATATAAAAAGAAATAGGCATTTTTTTGAGGGAATTCATTTTATCATCACTAGCAAATCACAAGCAACTGAACACCTGACACTATTTTACACTTCCAGTGAACCTAACATAGCTGTAATAGCCCAAGCATTGCAAGATTGCCTCCTTTTTCATATTATATGTGCAAACAGAGCTGGGGGGGAAGCCTCTCTCCAACAACGTGACTTTCCAGAGTGGGATTTAATATGGCTGGTTTTGAAATATGTAACAGTTTTGAGCTGCAAACTTTGCTCACTAACAGTAAAGAGAAACCAAATGGTTCACTTCACCAAGACCTTTTCTCATCATTTCATAGAGTAACAGTTCACATATAACATGTGATGCCAGAAAGTAAACAATCAAAAATGACAACCTCTTATAGTGCTAGAAGAATTCTGAAAGAATTGCTTTGAAGCTGACCAGAACTTTGTGTGTATGGCAGACGGAAATGCTGCCAATGAATAAATAAATACACATATCAGCCTGGACCATCAAAATCATCTGAATCTGGTATAAATGTAATGGATCCAGAGCCAAGTTCTTATACAGTCACTCATAAAGATAGAAAGCCAACATTCAGATCCAAAACAGGCTAAGATAGAATAGAAAAATCAATTAGCTCCTACAAGGTCAAAACCAGGGGGATAAATATCCATTCTGTAAGGAACTTTTTCCAGTTTTCACATATTTTTACTGTAATTTAAAGAAATATTAACAATATCAACGTAAAAGAACATACTCAGAATGGAAATATCTCCTATAAACAAAGTAAAGAGGATATGGAAGAAAATACAGAAAATGTAAGTTATCTCAGAAATGTAACTTGTATATTCCTGGTCAAAATCCTCACTTCTTGGTTCATGCCCACATGATCTGAAAAGTAATATGCACCATAAAACAAAATAACATAGCATATATACACTGAAACACACTCATGAGCTTGCAATCAACACGAAAATTCGAAATTCTGCTCCTCCGCATGTTTTTGGATAAGTGTATTTTGAATTAATTTTCTCCTAACCATACTTTCTGCAAATTCACAAAATAAGGAAAGACCTGGAAGCTTCTCTCCTTCCTACCATGTGTCTTTAAAAAACAAACTAAACATCATTTTTGTTGTTTAAAGGAGACGGTGGAATTCACACCTCCCAATTTAAGCACTCTGCACAGTTCTTCAGGAAACAAGAGAAGCCAGAACAGAAGCCACTTTCCTGGAGTAGAGAGTATTAAATAAGGCAGCTGATTTCCTTGTCCGCTCTAGTCAGGTTTCCGAAGTTGGCCACATTGAAAACCTGTGTTCTCAAAAGTAACATTAAAAGAAATACCCTACTTGATGAAGCTTCTGGGAGATTCCTTTATAGATGCATATGGAATAGAAAAAAAAAAAAAAGTTAAAATCCAGAGATCTCATTTTCCAATCTTTGAACCTAACCTGAGTTTACAGGGAGCTAAGTCAATGATGGAAAAGCAGCATTTGGCTTCTTAGAGCAAACCTCAAACCTTGTAAGATTAACCCCCTAAAATTTTTGTCATTACAGCTTTTTTCAACTTCTAAACTAATTTTAAACTGTTCCCACCAGTTGTTCACATCCACAGTTCAGAACACACGTTCTAGAGACAACACTGGAACAGCTAATAAGAATTACAATCACAGAGATTGAAATGCTGCTGCTCTTAACAGTATCACAGTACCTCTGCTTCAAAGACTATCGGTGATGGTGACTTCAAAGTCATGCAAGAACTTGATTAAAAATAAACACAGATTATGGATAGTGATGGTTAGGTGCAGATTGAAGGTGCTCTTTCCCCATTTGACCACAGACATACATGTTTTCCCAGCATGTTTAGAGAATACTGTGAATTCAAGTAATGCTTTTTTAATCTTAAAAAGGAAAAAAAAATAAAAAGAAGAAAAAACCCTATAGTTACTCATTCTTCAGGGGACATCCTTAAGTATTTTTATATTTTTATACTGAAAAAGGCAGAATGGAAAAACTATCAAACTTCTCAGTAAAATTACTTCTCTCATTCTCTTTCCTTTGCTAATGTGAGATTTGAGTACTAGCAATATTGCTTGTCTTTGAAATTCTCACTCTTCACAGTCATGAAAATGTTGATATTTTTCACTCAGCTGTATATTGACATACACTTAATGTACTCAGGTGCATATACAAGGCATCTGATCCAACTCTGATCTCATTAAAACATATTCTGAAACTGAAGTAGATCTGTTAATTCCAACAGGTCAGGATTAAAGGCAGGCTCATCAAGACTGATTGTACCACAGCTAGTTTAATGGTAGAAATTGGCTATGATCATTACGCCTGTAAGCAAAGAGAATTCACATGCAAGCATAAAAAGGGTGAAACATTTAAGCCAAGCTTTAAGATTCATAACAATAACATGTAAAAACTATGCAGTCAACCTGCAATACTTGCAGGACAGGAAGAGATCACCCAGGCTCCTGAGCTCAATTGCCAACAACCACATGCAACCACGTAATCGCTCTTTCATCCAGAAGTTTCCACAAAACATTCACTGTACCCACACATGCCACAGAACAACTTCCCAACTCCCTTCGCCAGTGAATGCTTCTCTGAAGCAAGAAAGCAGTCAACCAAGCAGTGCCCTTGAACCTTGTATCTTCTATCACAAACATTTCTACAGCTGTTTTTCCCAAATCCTTCCACCAGCCCCCAAAGGGCATTTGCCCACATACTGTTTCACCTGCAGAGTAAGCCCAATGCTTGCTACAGAGTCCAGCAGCCCTAAGGGAACAAAAGCCGCTGCATCACCAAGCCAAACATGCCCCAGGTTTTCAGTGGCAATTCCTAACAGCCCAGAGACTTTTGTACACCATTTCAGTTTCATTTCCTTGAAAGATGACTGTTTCTTCACGTTAAAACCATCCCTTCAGAAATCAGACAGACCAACATACAGCATGCTGACAGTTATTTTTCCTGAGAACTCTATTATAACATTTACCCGTTTATTTGGGGAGGCAGAGCAGACTCAGGCAAATCACAGAATGGTTTGGGTTGGAAGGGACCTTAAAGATCATCTAGTTCCAACCCCCCTGCTGCGGGCAGGGACACCCTCCACTAGACCACGTTGCCCGAAGCCTCATCCAACCTGGCCTTGAACACTTCCAGGGATGGGGCCTCCACAGCCTCTCTGGGCAACCTGTTCCAGTGCCTCACCACTCTCACAGTAAAGAATGTGTAACATCTAATCTAAATCGACCCTCCTTCAGCTTAAACCCATTCCCCCTTGTCCTGTCACTACACTCCCTGATAAACAGTCCCTCCCCATCTTTCCTGTAGGCCCCCTTCAGATACTGGAAGGCACAATTACATCCTCCCAGAGCCTTCTTTTTTGCAGGCTGAACAATCCCAACTCTCTCAGCCTGCCTTCATAAGAGACGTGCTGCCAGCCTTCAACCAAATACAGCTTTATGGAAACAGCCATGACTCTGCTGGCAACGTTACCCCATTTCCAAGGGTGAACAAAGCATCCAAAAGCACTTCATGCAATCACACCACCAGAATAAATGGCATAGATGGGGCAGAGGCCCTGACTTTTTAGCCACCAAGCACCCATAGATGAGCTAGCCAT